AAACCCGTCTGGATAACAGCAGACTGACTGCTGGTAAAATATACGACAGGTCTGGACCACTCCTGAATTTTGTTCGTATCTGAAAAAAATCTTAGAATATGAAAACATTGGTGAATGTCACAAATTCTCCTAAATCACTCGTATGCACAACTTAAGAACAAATCTGTGTACGAACGGTTCATGCATGAGGCCCATTGAATCTGAATGTGCAGAATTTGAATGCATTTATTTGAAAATAAATTTCACTAAACTGAATTTAAAGTTTTGTATCTGAATTAATTTGCTTTGAAACTTTATTTTGGTTTATTAAAAATTCAGTTTGACTACTTTCACTTTCAGTTCCATAATTCAGTAGTGATGTGCAGATCTGTACTGAAATATCAATACTGCCGATACCAGAACTTTATGTTCTAGAATCGATACTAAAATCAAAATATCAATACTATGATACTTTAGTTATTTCACATAATATAAATCATTAACAGGAAAATAGTAGAAAATAACTAAACTATTCCAATCTTGTCTTAATCAAATGTGGTTGGAGGGAACTACTTTTTCTTCCACTTGAGTAATGCATCAGCACAGTGGCATCAGTCTGTAGATGTATGGCAGGCCATTTTAACATAAAATGTGCTTCGTCTCAGTGTCTGTAATTACATTCTAGTCGAGGGGTTCCTAAACTTTTTCATGCCATAGTCCCCCAAACAGCATTAGCTCTGGCTAGGGACCTTCTTGTAAACCCACAAACAATGCTACAAAATATACAAAGTAACAATTTTTAGAATATTTTATTCACTATTCAAAAATTATTATATTTCTTTAGAATAAGAATTGAAAATTGTGCTAAACAAATGTAGGGTTAGGGTTAGAAAGACTTTTAAATTAAATAAATTACTATGTCATGTATTAATTATAAAGCTGTTATTTGAAAAACACTAATTTTTAAGATTTACCAGACACTTTATGTGTGTTATCACAAAGTATCATTATCGGATCAAAAAAAAATGGCACTGATGATGAAGAAGCTAAGATACTAATCTTCAGAAATTCAGTTCTGCTTTCTACTGAAGTGGCAAAAAAAAAAAAAAAGAAATTTGGCAGTATCGAACATCACTATAATTCAGATTTTTGTGTCACATCCTGGTCCTTGAGAAAGCCAGGCAGAGTAATCAAACACAGATCCACAGATTTATGTTTCACTTTGGTGAAGTTTCCCTTCTGGATGTAACTGTATGTATTTATGGAACTGAAAGTGAAAGTAGTCAAACTGAATTTTTAACAAACCAAAATACAGTTTCAAAGAAAATTAATTCAGATACAAAACTTTAAATTCAGTTTCAGTTTAGTGAAC